TCGCACCAGACACAGTATAGTGTCTCGGAGACCATCAGAACATGTTTTACTCCTTAATGCAGAGCGCCATGAATCCTACCAGACACAGTATAGTGTCTCGGAGACCATCAGAACATGTTTTACCCCTTAATGCCGAGCACCATGAATCCTACCAGACACAGTATAGTGTCTCGGAGACCATCAGAACTTGTTTTACCCCTTAATGCAGAGCGCCATGAATCCTACCAGACACAGTATAGTGTCTCGGAGACCATCAGAACATGTTTTACCCCTTAATGCAGAGCGCCATGAATCCTACAAGACACAGTATAGTGTCTCGGAGACCATCAGAACATGTTTTACCCCTTAATGCAGAGCGCCATGAATCCTACCAGACACAGTATAGTGTCTCGGAGACCATCCGAACATGTCTTAACCCTTAATGCAGAGCGCCATGAATCCTACCAGACACAGTATAGTGTCTCGGAGACCATCAGAACATGTTTTACCCCTTAATGCCGAGCACCATGAATCCTACCAGACACAGTATAGTGTCTCGGAGACCATCAGAACTTGTTTTACCCCTTAATGCAGAGCGCCATGAATCCTACCAGACACAGTGGTCCACAGTATAGTAACTGGAAGACCATCAGAACATGTTTTACCCCTTAATGCAGAGCGCCATGAATCCTACCAGACACAGTATAGTGTCTCGGAGACCATCAGAACATGTTTTACCCCTTAATGTAGAGCGCCATGAATCCTACCAGACACAGTATAGTGTCTCGGAGACCATCAGAACATGTTTTACCCCTTAATGCAGAGCGCCATGAATCCTACCAGACACAGTATAGTAACTGGGAGACCATCAGAACATATTTTATCCCCTTTAACGCAGAGCGCCATCGATCGTACCAGACACAGTATAGTGTCTCGGAGACCATCAGAACATGTTTTACCCCTTAATGCAGAGCGCCATGAATCCTACCAGACACAGTATAGTGTCTCGGAGACCATCAGAACATGTTTTACCCCTTTAACGCAGAGCACCATGAATCCTACCAGACACAGTATAGTGTCTCGGAGACCATCAGAACATGTTTTACCCCTTAATGCAGAGCGCCATGAATCCTACCAGACACAGTATAGTGCCTCGGAGACCATCAGAACATGTTTTACCCCTTAATGCAGAGCGCCATGAATCCTACCAGACACAGTATAGTGTCTCAGAGACCATCAGAACATGTTTTACCCCTTAATGCAGAGCGCCATGAATCCTACCAGACACAGTATAGTGTCTCGGAGACCATCAGAACATGTTTTACCCCTTAATGCAGAGCGCCATGAATCCTACCAGACACAGTATAGTGTCTCGGAGATCATCAGAACATGTTTTACCCCTTAATGCCGAGCACCATGAATCCTACCAGACACAGTATAGTGTCTCGGAGACCATCAGAACTTGTTTTACCCCTTAATGCAGAGCGCCATGAATCCTACCAGACACAGTATAGTGTCTCGGAGACCATCAGAACATGTTTTACCCCTTAATGCAGAGCGCCATGAATCCTACCAGACACAGTATAGTGTCTCGGAGACCATCAGAACTTGTTTTACCCCTTAATGCAGAGCGCCATGAATCCTACCAGACACAGTATAGTGTCTCGGAGACCATCAGAACTTGTTTTACCCCTTGATGCAGAGCGCCATGAATCCTACCAGACACAGTGGTCCACAGTATAGTAACTGGAAGACCATCAGAACATGTTTTACCCCTTAATGCAGAGCGCCATGAATCCTACCAGACACAGTATAGTGTCTCGGAGACCATCAGAACTTGTTTTACCCCTTGATGCAGAGCGCCATGAATCCTACCAGACACAGTGGTCCACAGTATAGTAACTGGAAGACCATCAGAACATGTTTTACCCCTTAATGCAGAGCGCCATGAATCCTACCAGACACAGTGGTCCACAGTATAGTAACTGGAAGACCATCAGAACATGTTTTACCCCTTAATGCAGAGCGCCATGAATCCTACCAGACACAGTATAGTGTCTCGGAGACCATCAGAACATATTTTATCCCCTTAATGCCGAGCACCATCAATCCTACCAGACACAGTATAGTGTCTCGGAGACCATCAGGACATGTTTTACCCCTTAATGCAGAGCGCCATGAATCCTACCAGACACAGTATAGTGTCTCGGAGACGATCAGAACATATTTTATCCCCTTTAACGCAGAGCGCCATCGATCGTACCAGACACAGTATAGTGTCTCGGAGACCATCAGAACATGTTTTACCCCTTAATGCAGAGCGCCATGAATCCTACCAGACACAGTATAGTGTCTCGGAGACCATCAGAACATGTTTTACCCCCTTAATGCCGAACACCATGAATCCTACCAGACACAGTATAGTGTCTCCGAGACCATCAGAACATGTTTTACCCCTTAATGCAGAGCGCCATGAATCCTACCAGACACAGTATAGTGTCTCGGGAGACCATCAGAACATGTTTTACCCCTTAATGCAGAGCGCCATGAATCCTACAAGACACAGTATAGTGTCTCGGAGACCATCAGAACATGTTTTACCCCTTAATGCCGAGCGCCATGAATCCTACCAGACACAGTATAGTGTCTCGGAGACCATCAGAACATGTTTTACCCCTTGATACAGAGCGCCATGAATCCTACCAGACACAGTATAGTGTCTCGGGGAGACCATCAGAACATGTTTTACCCCCTTAATGCCGAGCGCCATGAATCCTACCAGACACAGTATAGTGTCTCGGAGACCATCAGAACATGTTTTACCCCTTAATGCAGAGCGCCATGAATCCTACCAAACACAGTATAGTGTCTCGGAGACCATCAGAACATGTTTTACCCCTTAATGCCGAGCACTATGAATCCTACCAGACACAGTATAGTGTCTCGGAGACCATCAGAACATGTTTTACCCCTTAATGCAGAGCGCCATGAATCCTACCAGACACAGTATAGTGTCTCAGAGACCATCAGAACATATTTTATCCCCTTTAACGCAGAGCGCCATCGATCGTACCAGACACAGTATAGTGTCTCGGAGACCATCAGAACATGTTTTACCCCTTAATGCAGAGCGCCATGAATCCTACCAGACACAGTATAGTGTCTCGGAGACCATCAGAACATGTTTTACCCCTTAATGCCGAACACCATGAATCCTACCAGACACAGTATAGTGTCTCGGAGACCATCAGAACATGTTTTACCCCTTAATGCAGAGCGCCATGAATCCTACCAGACACAGTATAGTGTCTCGGAGACCATCAGAACATGTTTTACCCCTTAATGCAGAGCGCCATGAATCCTACAAGACACAGTATAGTGTCTCGAGACCATCAGAACATGTTTTACCCTTAATGCCGAGCGCCATGAATCCTACCAGACACAGTATAGTGTCTCGGAGACCATCAGAACATGTTTTACCCCTTGATACAGAGCGCCATGAATCCTACCAGACACAGTATAGTGTCTCGGGAGACCATCAGAACATGTTTTACCCTTAATGCCGAGCGCCATGAATCCTACCAGACACAGTATAGTGTCTCGGAGACCATCAGAACATGTTTTACCCTTAATGCAGAGCGCCATGAATCCTACCAAACACAGTATAGTGTCTCGGAGACCATCAGAACATGTTTTACCCCTTAATGCCGAGCACTATGAATCCTACCAGACACAGTATAGTGTCTCGGAGACCATCAGAACATGTTTTACCCCTTAATGCAGAGCGCCATGAATCCTACCAGACACAGTATAGTGTCTCAGAGACCATCAGAACATATTTTATCCCCTTAATGCAGAGCGCCATCGATCGTACCAGACACAGTATAGTGTCTCGGAGACCATCAGAACATGTTTTACCCCTTAATGCAGAGCGCCATGAATCCTACCAGACACAGTATAGTGTCTCGGAGACCATCAGAACATGTTTTACCCCTTAATGCAGAGCGCCATGAATCCTACCAGACACAGTATAGTGTCTCGGAGACCATCAGAACATATTTTATCCCCTTTAACGCAGAGCGCCATCGATCGTACCAGACACAGTATAGTGTCTCGGAGACCATCAGAACATGTTTTACCCCTTAATGCAGAGCGCCATGAATCCTACCAGACACAGTATAGTGTCTCGGGACCATCAGAACATGTTTTACCCCTTAATGCAGAGCGCCATGAATCCTACCAGACACAGTATAGTGTCTCGGAGACCATCAGAACTTGTTTTACCCCTTAATGCAGAGCGCCATGAATCCTACCAGACACAGTATAGTGTCTCGGAGACCATCAGAACATGTTTTACCCCTTAATGCCGAGCACCATGAATCCTACCAGACACAGTGGTCCACAGTATAGTAACTGGGAGACCATCAGAACATGTTTTATCGCCTTAATGCCGATCGGCGTGGATCGCACCGCTGTGGCCACCTTTAAACATCTTAAAAACACTATCAAACATGTTCAGACGGGATTTTTTTCATTTCGGAACCATTATAATGGAATACAACATCACACAATTGTTTTGCAGTCATTTATTGCACATATATTAACATTGACCTGGAATGGTAATTATTATTATTGGTAATGTACAAAATATCGGACATAATGTGCATATGGAATTCTTGGAATTCGCTGTATCCGGAGATCGTTACATCAAGAGTTAGTTACATACGAATGGGGTTCGTTTCATCACGAGTTTGTATATCAAATGTTCGTATAGGCGGATCAGCTGTTTGTTCGTCAAATCAGAAGTTGAGTGAGTGAGTGAGTTTAGTTTTACGCCTCACTCAGCAATATTCCAGCTATAAGGCGGCAATAAGAAGTGAGTGAGTGAGTTTGGTTTTACGCTGCTTTTAGCAATATTCCAGCAATATCACGGCGGTGGACACCAGAAATGAGCTTCAAACAATGTACCCATGTGGGGATTCGAACCCGGGTCTTCGGCGTGACGAGCGAACGCTTTAACCACTAGGCTACCCCATCGCCCCGCAATAAGAAGTGGACATAGTAGTAATGAATTTAGTTGTTATCAGAGACCATTAAACCGATTTCATATAATTACAAACAGCCCAACAAGCACACACACGCGCGCACGCACGCACACACTCACACCCATCTTTTCAGCCCTCACAAACGGATCCCATGAAATGATTGATGAGGGAATCAAGGGCTAACGAGTTTGGATGCTGGTCGTCGTTTTCTGTGGCCACTGTCAAATCTATATTATTTAAGAAAAGCACATTGTTCTCGAGCCCCTTAAATGCGTCCCGCTGAATTGTGTCGTATGGGAACATCCAACAGTCATCCAGAAACCCTATTTTGCCCCTACCCTTGAAAGCATGAGTCCCTCGTATCGCCACTTTAACCCCGGGGGCGCGAGCAGCTAACGATTTGACAGATCGGGCAATTCGTTGCATATGTGTTCTAAAAACCTCTGGAGGGGAAGGGGTTAAAATGAAGGTATATATGAATGAGAAATATATCCCTTGAATTATTTGGAATGTCATCAAGATAGGCATGAGTTGCTCTGTTGTAAGCCAGTTTGTTGAACGTGTATCCATGATAAAACGGGTACTCATGAGGCACCAGCATCAGCGAGATGTTCAAGTTCTTGTCCATTGCCACTGCTGGTTTGTGCCACTTGGAATGGTGCCATTGCTCTGTGACCAGTTTCAATCCTAAACGCTCAGTTAAAGTATTGAACCACGATCTGGAAGAGGAATCGCCATGGATCCAAAGTCTCCGGTTTTTCAGACATTCTCTGTATATTTTCGGATCAGCTGGAATTGTGTTTTTACAAGTTAGAGACCTCCAGGAATTCTTGTAGAAGAAGCCAACAGGTGTTGATGCCTCCCAGCTTTTCCTCAAAGGCGTTTTGTTACAAGGGACACTTGGCAAGGAAACTGTCTCTTGGTCTGCAAGAGAAATCATTTGTTGATGAACCACAGTAAAACAACGTTAGTCGAGGTAGAAGGTACTTCGCGTTATCCGAGGTTTGACATAAGGAATGCGCAAGGACCAAGGTTTTACTTCGAGACAACAGCAAGATGGACTCATCAAATTTAAAGTCAATATGAGTGAGTGAGTGAGTGAGTGAGTGAGTTTAGTTTTACGCTGCTTTTAGCAATATTCCAGCAATATCACGGCGGGGGACAGCGGAAATCGGCTTCACACATTGTACCCACGTGGAGAATCGAACCCGGGTCTTCGGCGTGACGAGCGAACGCTTTAATCACTGGGCTGCCCGACCGCCCCATTTTCAACATGAGCGAGTTTGTATCCATATAGTTTGTATCTATCTATATTATGTATAAGTATGAACAAGTACTCAATACTAAGGACTCTTGACAGTTGACACTAACTAGGACTCTTCTGCATTCCATATATTAGAAATAACAAATGTTTTATACAAGCCTTTTATGACGTCATAAACAAAATATGACATCCTCATGTGACGTCATATCTTCTATTCACCAATCAGCATTGGGCGTTGCTAAAAGTGCACAAGTGCAAATGTCTGGTTCAATGATTGGTCTACAATTGCTATCCTTTTTCAGTCTACTGCCAAGGTGGCCTTTTCCTGACTCAACTGAGTAAGAACATAGTTTGTGACTGTTCACGCACGCACGCACGCACGCACGCACGCACGCACATACGCACGCACACACCCACGCACACATGATACAATACGATCTGTCGCAGTCGCAGCTTAATGTACGACGAAATCCCGAAACGATGCACTTATAAAACGTTTCCCTATGTGGTGAAACCTACAAGCATGGGTATGGTGCTGGCAATCCGAACTCTCACATAATATTGAGACCTCACAGGACACGTGTCTCGGTCCCACAGGGAAACAAACATTCAATGACGTATTCACCGCTTGTTTGTGTCTAACTGGTGTGTCAACTACTGCTCATTACCAGGCATATTGGACCCGTAAAGATCCGAGTTAGAATTGATCTTCAGTAACCCATGCTTGTCGTAAGAGGCGACTAACGGGATCAGATGGTCAGGCTCGCTGACTCGGTTGACACATGTCATCGTCTCCCAGTTGCGTAGTTCGATGCTCATGCTGTTGATCACTGGATTGTCTGGTCCAGACTCGATTATTTACAGACCGTCGCCATATAGCTGGAATATTGCTGAGTGTGGCGTAAAACTAAACTCACTCACTCACTACAGGCATATTTTATGTGACAAAGCTGGACTGTTGTGTGAATCTTTAATCAGCTGACAACGTTAACATACCTGACGTCACTTTAATCTCAATAGCTGTGGGAATGGTTTGATGTAGCATGTTTCTGAAACAAAGGTAAGGAATGTATTTTATGAAACACTGAAGTTAGAATAATAATATTGTTTGAATTCGAATTCGAAATAAGAATATTATTATGGTTTACAGATTAAAAATAGTATGCAGCAGAGAGGGTTCGGGTGATCCTGGCACAGTCAGGCTGGTAAGGCTCATCATCAGCTCAGGGCCCTTGCCCCCTCTTCACTTAGCCCAGACAGCGAATGGGACTTCTCCCAGGAAACGCTGCCTAGTCGAACCAACCAAGAACATTCCGGAGAATTCTGCTTTACGCAGTGTCATAAAGGCTGTATATCATTATTATTATTATCATTATTATTATTTCAAAATAATGACAAACACAGTAATACATAAACATGATTTGGAGCGATTCCGAAAAAACCCACCCTGTCTAAAAATACAAAGATAACGAGAATGCGAAACCAGCCATATCATGGCGGAAGACACATTTTACCCAAGTAGGGAATCGAACCCAGGCCTTCAGTGTCACAGAAAGTCTGCAGGCTATCCCACCACCCCATTATGTTGGAGTACACGTCATACAGAGGTAATCAGTCTGTCGAAACAAACATCATATCCAAATAACCATAACTCTAAAATACGCACCAAATCAAGAAAACTGTCATGTCGAAAAACGTCTTATATGGAAATAGTCAGTACATGGAAACAACCATCATTACTTGATAATAGGTTCGTTGATATAACTAGAACGGCGCGGTAATCAGCTGGTTGAAAGAACCGCGTTACCAGATAATTAGAGTCGAAACTATGCAACATAACTAGAAAATAAGTTTTATCCAGTCTAACGTAACAATCATCAATGTTGAAATCACTGCCATGTTGGCTGAAATATATAATAATATTCATCATTATCAGTCACCACTGCTGAGAGTGAGTGAGTATGGTATTACGCCACTGTTAGCAATATTCCAGCAATAACACGGCGGGGGACACCAGAAATGGGCTTCACACATTGTACCAATGTGGGGAATCGAACCCGGGTCTTCGGCGTGACGAGCGAACGCTTTAACCACTAGGCTACCCCTCCACCCTCCATTGCTGAGAAACGGATCATCAGCCTAATCACCAAAATATTCAAATATGAATGAACATGGTATTGACATAAACAAATATGAAATAATAAATATATGAATAAATTGATTAAAAGTTGTACCCTTGGAAGAATTTTGCTTCGTGTGGCGTAAACAGAGATGGCTGTTTATCCGGTTCACGTAGTCCCGTGAAGTCGTGACACAGCAACTTCCGGTGTGATGGTTTCCCACAATACCATGGGAGACCGTAATTCTCGGCCGTCAAGTTACAGACGTTCGTAAATCCTCGGATATTTGGGATAGGCAGGCACAAAGTCTCCTCTTTGACGCCGTCGCTCTCGAACATCGCTGATATATTCCTCAGTGTGTAGTAATCGCGATATACCCTATAGAATATATCCACATTTTCTTTACGACTGGCTATGGTGGCCTCGATTTTCGGACTTCCGGTCCAGAGAGCTCGGAGAGTTCCTGTGTAGGTGCCGTCTTTGTTGTCAGTGACAACACCGGCTGCTCGTGCTTCTTTCGACTTTTCGCTCATCCATATTCTCACGTTATCCCCTCCCTTGGTTTTACGTCGCTTGTACTCGTCGAAAAGTTGGATTTTTACAGAAATTGTGTCCCCTAGTTTAAAGTCCGTTTTAGTTGAAGCGAGTTGAATGTTTGAATTTGGAGCATATGAACAGCTTTTAGGGTCCGTCTGTGCAATAGTACTCCCTAAGGCGTTTCCCTGGTCTGCCTTCAAATCAGATAGTGTTTTCCCGTTCACAGACATCGGGCCTTGCCAGTCACTAGAACGTCGAACTTCCTCTCTGACATCTGGCTTTGAAAGAGGCGTGCTCTCTCTGAAATCAAAGCAGAATGAATTGTACAAATATAGGATCATCTGAAACGAAAAGAGGATAATTTCTCTGCAAAAGTATTGTCTACAGCAATATGTAAATTACTTAAATCATGTTTAGAACACCCACAATGGGAAGGCTGTGAGTGGCAATACCCGCCAGGAATAACTGACTAACTACAGCTGCATGAGTGAGTGAGTGAGTTTGTTTTACGCCTCCTTTAGAAATATTCCAGCATTATCAAAGCGGGGCACACCAGAAATAGGCTTCACACATTGTACCCATGTGGTGACTCGAACCCGGAACTTCGGCGTGACGAGCGAACGCTTTAACCACTAGGTTACCCCACCGGCCCAGAGAGCTGCATGAAAACATCGTGTGATCTTTAACTTGGTGTGCTTTGTATGTTACATGTAGCCATGGCAACTAACATTCATAAGGACGCACAATTAAAACTTGCTCTTTGAGATCTAAACATGATAAAAATTAAAAATGACACTTTTATCTTTTGGATACCAGATCCCATGATGGTAAAACATGAACTGAACCTAGTCAACTTTAGTAGGCTACGTAGCAAAACAACCTCTCCAATCAACTCAATATTGACCTCTGGTAAATGGAAACCAGATAGCCACATCGGATTCAAAAGGTTACGTTCGTCCATTCCTCTGCGATCGTCGCGCGCTGAAACAGGGGAGGTTATCCTGCACACTAATTTGTTTTAAAAACTCTGCTGAACCAGCCTGGTTCCCTGGGTCTGTTGCGCCTGCGTTACCGCCTGCGCAACAGACCCAGGGAACCAGGCTCCTGCTGAACATTTGAGATGTTCCTGGTATGTAAAAGTTCGGTACGGTACACGTCAAATATATTTAAGTGTGATGGTTATGTGGATTTTTTATCACGTTAATTCCAACACAGGAAACATGTCAACGTTGGTACAACATTCTCGCTTTTCTTTTTGTTGTTGTGACAATTAGAAAATAACGTTGCCCCATCGTCAAGTTGTTTGAATGTTTAATGTAGCATGACGCCACGGTACCCAAACACACTCGTGGAACATTTATATAATACTGCATTTATATACATTTTTATTCATCATTGTCATATGATACGATTTATGATTGTCATGCTATGCATTACGGATATGACTGTTATGTATCTTTACCCACATGGTTGTCATGTTATTCATTAATGACATGCTTGTCATATTGTTAGTCATTGACATGATTGTCATATTATTCATTATTGACATGGTCAACATATTATTCATTATTGATAGGGGATGTGGGGTTGCCTAGTGGTTAAAGCGTTCGCTCGTAACGCCGAAGACCCGGGTTCGATTCTTCACATGGGTACAATATGTGAAGCCTATTTCTGGTGTTCCCCGCCGTGATATTGTTGGAATATTGCTAAAAGCGGCGTAAAACCATACTCACACACTCATTATTGACATGGTGAACATATTATTCATTACTGACATGATTGTCATATTATTCATTACTGACATGATTGTCATATTATTCATTATTGACATGGTGAACATATTATTCTTACTGACATGATTGTCATATTATTCATTACTGACATCATTGTCATATTATTCATTACTGACATCAGTGTTATGTATCGTCATCTCTTCGTGGCAGGGTTGATATTCATAGCAAGATTTTTGTGCTAATCCCCAACTGTTGACAGGGGGGTGCTACCCTCGGAGCGGTCTCTCTGTACCTGGCGGCCATGGGGCTGGGTCCAGGTTGATGGCATGTGTCAACCAAGTTAGCTAGCCTAACAACCCGATCCCGCTAGTAGGCTCTTACGACCAGCAGGGACACGGGTTGCTGAAGACAAATTCTAACTCTAATTTCCATTGGTGTACGCATTAGGTTTTCAGTACTGGAATTCAAGCATGAATAATCATCTATAATGAAACTATACACCAGGCGTGTTGCAACCCACTTTTTGTGTAAACCCGATATGTTACAAAGCTTCAAATTTAGATAGTATTGAGGGCTTGCCCCAGCCTTTTGTGCAACACTCATGTGTAAGCCCGGGCTTTTTGTATCATAGTAGCTACGCCCATGCATACTGACAAATACTGACAGTCTTCAAAATATCAATATTTGAACAAGTGTTTTTATACCCTCCTTCTCCCTGTTGGCAAGCAAATAATTATTCACGTCCATAATGTCAAGACCATCGGACAAGCTCCATTATAATCAGATAAATGCAAACCTGTTTGAGCAGCATTTGGGCTGGTTTGCCTTACAGTCACTGAACCATGTTACTTTCCCTACTGCCCAGCCCTCCCTGCAATGCTAAAGCCCTAAATGAAGCAAGTCTAGATTTCGCCAGGTACTGGTCTCCCTGGGGCTCCTTTTCAATTTAAATGTTTTTTTTTGTTACAATCCAGATTATACATATTCAGAGGCTAAGCCTTTGTCTACATTTATTCGCTAAAAAGCATGTGTCATGACACACGTATTCGCTCTGCAAAGCGCTTGCTGGGAGCAATCGATACAAGCAACTACATGTACCAGTATCGACTACCCATACGTTGACCACGTGGGAAATAAATCTGGATATCACACTCAACAGTCGTGTTTATATTTCCCATGCTGTGAGTGGCCTTTGACACTGTGTTGCTAAGAGACCATAAAGGACATCGCAGAACATCCGTTCTGTCGCTTTAGCATTTTTATTCTAACAGGTTCATCCTGTTATACTCTGAACATCATTGATACGAGGACCAAGAAAAGTAGCACCCCACCCTACCCTACTCCAGCCCTCCCCTCACCTTTTGAAACAGAACTGGTATTGCTACCAAGCCTTATCGGTTATACAAAACGGGAACTCACACAATACAATCACCAAACTGTTCACCGCGTGACTTTAAAGGCGGTGTGATAAGGATTACACGTTCAATCCCTCAGCTAAAGATTTTAAAGTTGAAAGGATGGGGCGTAGGTGTCATTTCCAAGTCTGACGTATCAGTTAAAAAAGTTATGTCCGACGAAATTCCTTATTTTGACTTCGACCATATGAACATATGTCTTAAACATAGGCAGGAGCCACGCACACCCCACCCTCCACACTTGTCCCCACCCTTGTCCTGAAAGTTTATTGAAAGACCATTGAAACTCTCGTGAAACGGGTGAAAATGAATTGTGCACCGCGTTTCTCAAGAGTGTGCACCCACCTCCCTTTTTCAAAGAGTTATATCCCCCCCGTTCTTGCATGTTTTTATGACGGGTGCCACAGGTCGAGCAGGAACCGCTCACCTTTCGAGAACACCTGGTGTCATTACTAGTCGATAAAGATTAAGAAATTCATGCGATAGTCGTAATCGTTCGTTGTGAAAATGGTGCTTATAATTGTCCTGTATGATTCTAGTGTATATCATATGCCATCAAAATTATCAATTTTTATATGTTAGATATTAGGGCTGCGCAATATAACCGGTATTTACCGGTTCAGACATGAAAACGATACGTATTGCTATACGCTGATCTAAAACCGGTATTTTGAAATGCATTCGGAAAACTTCGTAACACTAGGAAATCTTCGGATGTTTCCGTTTTTTAATTGTTCTTTTCCCTGTTTCATTAGTGCCAAGTGTTACTTACATTCTTATTTTATCATGATTAATTTGTTTTATGAAAGGTTAATCAATCATAGTGATTTTGTTGTGTTTTTGCTTTATAATCAAGCATTAACTCGATTATAAGTAGTTTTTGTTAAAAAAAATAATCCTTGCAATATATTGCAATACATATCGCAATATATGCTTCCGCATCGCAATACCCACCCCTATTAGATATACATGTTCCTTAATTCATAGCATGTCCAATACAGCCTTTATGTTGACAACTTCAACGGCTTTATACAGGTTACATTTATAGGGTTACACTCAACCACCCCCCTGGTGTCATCATTATTTATCAGTGATCCATACACACTGAATGGTACAATAAAGTCTGCCTTCAGAGACTGTGATAATACAGATTATACTACACCGTTTTATGTTTTATCAATAAACATGCCCTTACGATAAAGTCCGAATCGTACAATGGATTCTGCATTCGGAGACATCTTGTAATAATACAGATTATGTTATACAGTTTTATGTTTTATCAATAAACACGATCTGACGATAAAGTCCGAATCGTACAATGGACAATAGAGATTTCTTATGATGATGGAACTCGTCTTTGTGTCTATATTTATTTCCCATCTTTAACCCGTGAGTTTATACTAAAATATGAGACAATTTATTTCGATTTGTAGCCTGTCGGTTTTCGAACTGACAACTGTAGTCATAGTAGTGTTAGCCCCTAATTCATGTGTATCACATATAACATTGATAAAACGGAGTGCAGTGGATATACGCATGATTACACACAGGTTTGCAAATCTAAACCACATTACCACATTTGTAACCACGGAAACCATTGCCCCCGCCCTAATATTGATTTAAAGTGTCCTGTTTTGAGTCGGACCAAAATATGCATTACAGCTGTGCTCTTCACATTTTCATCGTCCTATTATTACAGCTGGTTCCTCACATTCTACGCGCGTCGTATTGTATTATTGTACATTGTATCATAAAGAAACACGGATTTCAGAAAGCCTGAAAGCCACCCTAAGGGTTCTTCCACATTTCATTGGCAAGCTATTATACAATAGTACGCGGAAGGAAAACTAAAGGTCTGAAAACAGATTAAAGCTTATCTACATGTTTTTATTTAATTGTTTAATTTTCGATTGGGTTTCTAAAAACTCCCTCTAAACCGACATCCATCTAAACCGACATTTTTCACCGGTCCCAAGCGATGACGGTTTAGAGGGAGTCCACTGTAATATAGAACTATGTCCTATAGTGTTCAAGATTTCACATTTGACAGACATAACCCTCTCACTCTGTACTCAGTGTTCTGAAGAGTCTGGCGTAGAAGAACACGGCTGTGATAGAGCCGTTACGGTGATGACATTATATACCGTCACAC